CAAGGTCTGCAAATGAGGATGACGAATTTGTTTGGTCCGATGCAGCCCATGCCCCCGGCTTGAGTGCTGCTAGCAGCCCGAGGGTTCAGGAAGGCATTGAAGTTGGTGAGTCGGGAGGCAGTGCACATTTAGCACCTGAGGGAAGCTCACAACCAGGTGACATGGGCGGTTTGCCGTCCGACATCACGGCCACCAATCGGCCGAGAATTGCCAGCGCACGTGGCGACATTGGTGGTGATGATCCTGTCCTGGAGCGAAGTGGAATTTTTCCGAGGAGCCCAGCCCCTTGGGCAATGGGAAGTGGGGGGAGCGGAGGCAGTGGCGATGGAGGCTATCCGCAACTCGACCCTGGCAGTACAGATGAGCCAGCTGAACATGCAGATGAGCCGATCAATGAGGGAACCGTAACCAATGAGGAGCACCTAAATCAACTAGCTGGTGAGCCAGGCAAGGGCTGGAATAAGAATTATGGTAGTTTCAATGGCGTCAAAAAGACCAGGGTTGTTTTTGGTTTGTTCGTCCTCCTTTATTGAGGCTTGCTCTCGCTCGAGCGGCTGCTATACTGCTACCGGATGATGATACATGTTAAAATATAACTCCAGTAGTGTGCTTCGAGCAATTACCATGAACGGCCTGCCTTTGGCGGATTTCCACCCGTGTAGGCCTTCCAGCAGATGGCAGCGCAGATTTCGAAGATGACGACGATTTTGGAGACTTTGAGGGAAATGTGGCAGTGGCATCAAATACAGACGGCAGCTAGTTTGCACTTGTGCAATATTTTTTCGAACTTCCCTAAGTATGTCATCCTGAGTCCTGCGCGGTAGTATATGCTTGTGTTTGAAAAAGATGTTTCTCAGGAGCGGCAGCGGAGGATGACCAGTGGGGCTTTGCTCCAGTTCAGTCTCCGGAGGGGATCAGTGTAGAGGACCATAACAAGTTGGTGCTGAAGCTCATTGAGACTTGGCGAGAATCCATGCCCGCACCTTTGGGTCTTGATTCGCAGGTTTCACCCGACTCAGACGACAAAGTCACAGACTGGGACTCCTGGCTTCAAACTCAAAGCATCCCTGAAGAGGCTCAAGAACTCGTCCGCTGTGGAGTTTCTACTCGGGTCCCCATTGTGCCCTTCTCCAAGCTGGGTATCAAGGAGCCAGATCCCTCCAGGGTATTTGGAGCAAAAGTCAGGGAGGAGTTTTTGAATTCATTGGGGAAGCATCTGCAGCTGCCAAAGCCAACCAGTTCTCCAGGCAGCCCCACCTCACCTGCTCAAAATGAGATCAAAGCACAGACTGGCGCCCTTGCAGCTGCGGGTCCCAGCGTTGCGCCTGTAGGCGACGGTGTTGAGACGGATCATGCTGACCGAGGTGAGAGCATGACAAACATGGTTGATGCAGATTGGGGTTTGCTGGAAAATGTCGGTCATCTTCCCGAGAGTGAGAATATCGGTCCAAAGCCATCCCAACCTTCAGACACAGACGTGCTCTCGCAAGCGCTGAACTCTGTGGGGCTCTCCATTGCCACAGCACCGGGACCCGCCGCCCACGCAAACGAAGGTGGCCTCGGTGCCGAGGAGAAGCGCAAGAAGAAGGGGATGACTCACAAAGTGAAGAGCTTTCTCTCTGGCCTTCCAGACCTTAAGCATTTGTATTCCAAGTCAGTCGTCACCTGAAATCTGACTGCACAGAAGCCCTCTGAGGGCCCCTAGTTTGGAAAAGGGCATCTCCATTCGCTGTGAATCAATGCGACTGATGCGACTGTGTCACCGATGTGTTCTAAATTTGGCAGTTTCAAACCGATTCAATCTGTACGAACAAACCAGGCGAAGCCCTTCGCCGCCAAAGCCCCGAGTCGATTGCTCCCACGGCTGAAGAAGTGGAGCTCTCAGGCCTTTTAGGTTGGTCCAAAAACAACATCAAACAACCCGATGCTATATTTTGGCTGCTCATAATAGGAACAGAGGTGCCAGTCTTGGAGCATTCTGCGCCTCTTAAATACTCAACCTAACTGTGGCACTTGCAAACATACATACTTGTAATATGTTTAATGCGCGACCAATGTAGTAAAGAGCAGTCGGAAATTGCTACAAAACCTGCACAGTCACGGGCCTTGTTGAATCAGGTCCTTTTCGTTATAATACATTTTAGCATATTCTAGCTGACACTCATCATCTCATACGACTCATATGCGCAAGTAAGATCAAGTACAGTAAGTAGGTTGGTCAAAGTATTCTCTCGGAGGGTAGGCCGACTCACACCATTACATATAGCGTTAAATCAAGCTGCTGATTCCAAGTGTATCACACCTTCTCTTCCAGAACCATGGAGGTTTGATCCTCGACAGGATATTGATTGCAAAACACCATGGTAGTGATTCAACTGATGAAGTCCTTCCAAGTGTCATCAATGTTATTGGCTACGTCATGTGCAATTCTTTTGCTATGTCAAAAGTATACAGGGTGAGACCACGCAAAGCCAAGAAGACTTGTCTCAGGAAACGATGATGCACTACGGAAAGAAAAAGACAGCTAAGAACGCTCCAAATCGAGGGGTTACAGAATGCATTACCATGCTATATATGGGGTTGAACTGAGGTTGGCCGTGTAAGATGTGTTCAACAATACAACAGCTCGCCGATTCGGCAGAAGCCCACGTGGGTTTAGCAAGTGGCTTTGAGTTTTCAACTTGCGGATTGGCATATATCTCCCTGTCAGCCTTGCCTGGCCTCCTTGATTATGGGAGAGGGAGCGAGAGAGACACATTAAAACATATTAAAACAATTTAAAACGACAAAAAACGTGAATCATTAAGCATCTCCGATCCATCTATCCCCGTGTGTCTTTTTCCTTGCTGTGTCACCTGTGTGTTGAGGTCTTGGCCATTTGTATGTCCTTTCCAGGACGACAGATCTCTGATCCCTACCGAGCAGCTCGGCTGCATGCTGAACTTGGGCTTCTTCCGAAGCGACAGAAATACTGATAGAACCACAGAAGTAAGTTGAGGCCACGGACAACACCATACGGAGGACTGCATTGCAGGGATTGTTTCGTTTTCAGCGGCTTAAAAAATGCTCCGACAAAACCTGCAGGATGCCAATACCTAGCCTAGTTATTAATCATCCACGGCAACGGATCAACAATATCAATTATCCAACCCGGAAATCACAGCTGATGTCTCCATTCAGAGGCTGTGTCACAGTTCTCAAACTTACTGTTTGCAGGCTCGGGCCCAGTGCATGGCTGTCGTATCAAACATGGAGTGGCCCCATGGCAGCACAGTGACAAATAGGCTTGCAAGACTTTGCGATCTCACCACTGTTCCAGGCAACTTTGTCCAAGCCCCACAGGCGAGCTTATTTCTGCAGGCGCTGATAGATGTTTGTCGCCTGTGGGATCAGATGGCACACACTAGCCACTACCTAGTACAGCAAAGATTGCGAACGTGGCCAAGCTGTGCAGAGAGCATATTGATTTACACGTTTTTACATGCAATGCGCTCACGCTTTTGCTTCTGACATATTCTGACTGGCAAGGCCGTGCGGCGGTCTTCGAGTCCCGACGGTCCACGCTACACTTTGGCCACGGTGACCTCCCAGCTTCTTGAGAGACATTGTTTGTAGAAGGCAGTGCAGTGAGTGCAGTGTCTCATCACTCCACATACAGTGTAGTCACGTAGTTTGTGTGTGTGCTTTGGGAGCGGTCTCAAAAGCATCTCGGCTCTAGGGAGCTTGGAATCGGAGATGGCATAGGAATCCGCAGCATGGCTCCCAAGCTGGACACTCCCAGCGAAGGCATGGACGGAGGCCTTCACATGTGAATCATGATGAATCATTGTATCACCTTCCATGATGGAAGTGAAATGCGGCAACTTCAGCTGAGACTGTGGTTACGACGGTTATGATATGTTATGTTTGGATGCGTGACATCACAGACGTGGGATCTTTG